ACCTCAGTAATGGGATTATAGGATCAAATGGGAGGTCTAATTTGAGTTCTTTGAGGATTCTCTATACTTCCTTCGAAAAAGGTTGGATTAGTCTGCAGTCCCACCATCAGCGTAAAAGTGTTCCCTTCTCTCTACATCCACGCCAGCATCTGCAGCTTTGAGATTTTGTGATGTGGGCCATTGTCACTGGGGTTAGGTCATATCTCAGGGTGGTTTTGATTTTCATTTCTCTGATAATTAGGGATGATGAGCATTTTTTCATATGTTTGTTAGCCATTCATCTGTCTTCTTTAGAGAAAGTTCTATTCGTGTCTCTTGCCCAATGATATATGGGATTGTTGGTCCTTTTTATGATGATTAACTTGAGTTCTCTATAGATCCTAGTTATCAAGCATTTGTTTGATTCATAATAAGCAAATATCCTTTCCCATTGTGTAGGTTGTCTTATTTGCTTTGGTTGTTGTCTCCTTAGCTGTACAGAAGCTTTTCAGTTTAATTAACTCCCATTTGTTTATTTTTGTTGTTGCAATTGCCACGGAAGTCCTCTTCATAAAATCTTTCCCCAGGCCAATACCTTCAAGTGTTTTCCCCGTACTTTCTTTGAGGATTCTTATTGTTTTGTGCCTTAGATTTAAATCTTTTATCCATCTTAAATCAATTTTTGTAAGTGGTGAAAGGTGCAGATCCAGTTTCAGTCTTTTACATGTGGCTATCCAGTTCTCCAGCACCATTTATTGAATAGGGATTCTCTCCCCTAGTGTACTGGTTTATCAAAGATCAGGTGGCTGTAAAGGGTTATTTTCATCTCATGATTTTCTATTTGGTTCCTAATGTCTATGTCTCTATTTTGTGCTGGACAATATCTTTTTTGGGTAAGGAAAGTTTTCTTTTAGAGCATCTTTAATTATCATCTTTATTCCATTTCTTTGTGTCCCCTCTTCAGGAAACCAGTTATGTGTATGCTGTTCCACGTCTGCCACATCCTGTTGTCTCTTGCACCAAGTGTGCTCCTTTGTCCTTTGCCTCTGCCTTCCAGAGGAGCTTGTGGTTTGCCTTCAGAACCATTAGCTGTACAGCACCAATTTTGTCTCTGACAGGGATTTAATTTCAATTATTTCTCTTTTTTTGAGGCAGAGTCTCAAGCTGTCACCCTGGGTAGAGTGCTGTGGCGTCATAGCTCACAACAACCTCAAACTCTTGGGCTTAAGTGATTCTCTTGCCTCAGCTTCCCAAGTAGTTGGGACTATAGGTGCCTGCCACACCTCCTGGCTACTTTTTTTTGTTGTTGCAGTTGTCATTAGTTGTCATTATTGTTTTAGCAGGCCCAGGCTGGGTTCAAACCCACCAGCCTCGGTGTATGTGGCCGTTGCCCTACCCACTGAGCTATGAGCGCCGCCCTCATTCTTATTCACCCATCTAATAGATTTCATCTAATCCTGTGGCCTTTTCAGCTTACCCTCTGCTCTTCTGATGGCTTCAGCTCCCATTTCAGAGGCTGGCTGATAAAATTGAACTGAGGATGATAAATAGTTTCTTGCTCTGTATGAGTATAGGGGGGAGGGAAAGAGACAGGGGGAGAAGAATTGTGTATTTCTGAAATATTTTCGAAAGTATGTTCTTCCTCTGATTTTTGCGGATGTTGTTCCCTTCCTCTTTCTCTTACTATGTATCTTTTTGTTCTAGTTATCTCTTTCTGTTGAATAAACTCACACCAAAAATTAGTGACTTAAACATTAACCATTTTACTAACTTTTCATGATTTTCTTGGCCAGAAATTTGGATAGGGTTTGGGTAGACAAGTCTTTTATTCCATGTATTAGAAATAGAAGTCATTTGGCAATATTCAGCTGGTGGATGGACTAGAGGATCCAAGAGGGCTTCACTCATATGTCTGGTGCCTTGCAGAGATGGCTGGAAGGCTGGGTTCAGCTGGGACTGTCAGGCAGAGAGCCCACCCATGGCGTCTCCTGCATGGTGATCTCAGGGCATCAGAAATTCTTATGTGGCACCTCCGGCCTCCAGGAGCTACTGTTTCTACAACCAAGAAGGTTCTGCATGGCCTTCGTGACTTGGCCTCACAGAAGTCACACCCTGTCATGTCCTTTGTTCTTTGTTGGTTAAGGCTGTCACAGCCTTAACATGGATGGAAGAAACATCAAAGAGTTTTGCAGCCATGTTTTAAAGCAGCTGCTTTTCCTTGACCTCGTGCTGTCATTTTCTTTTTCAATCATCTTCAGATTGAGGTCGCGTCAGGTCTATTTCTGGGAGACACATTGGTGTATAGAGTTGTCTCTCTGAATCCGTTTGTGACAGGCACTCACCTGCGGCTGACTGCTCTGGACGCCACACTATTATTTATCCAGTCTAAGATAACCTCTTTGGAGACCACACATATTGCTGACTCGCGTCAAGCCTACTGTAAATTACAGTCCCCAGCTCTTTCTCTCACTTGGTTGGAGGTACTCACCCCCTGTTGGCAGCTAGTGAACACTGTGCCTCTGAACAGTCCATGCCACAATCTTCTCAGGGACATTGCCAAACCATTTGACTTTGAGTTGACAAATTTTGTTCTCTTCTTTATAAAGTTACCTAAATCCAGGTGTGGGGCAGGCTTCTCTCTGTCTCTCTACAGCTCTCCATGAGTCATAGAGAGTTTCTCTTTGATCTCATTTGTAAGCTACCCCAGAGTATTTTTCAAATCCCACATGTGTTTACCAATTAAAAACAAAAAATCAGAATTGGGGTGAAGAAGGGAGTTGGAGGATTCTGAAAGTGAGCCTGCGAAATCTTCATCTTCCAAAATGGAGAATGTTGATAAATCAAGGAAAAAACTTCAATAAACATATTAACTGTATTTGGAGTTGTGGGAGTGACTACGTTAGAAGTTAAAACAGAAATGCTTCAAACTGGCTGGCTGCCTCTGGAAAGAGGGGTTAGAGGTTAGACAGGGTGGGGAGAGAGGCTGGCCCCTCAGGCTCAGCCCCATGGTACAATGGAATGTTTTACTTCATGTATGGATTTTGTGATAAAAAAAAAAAGTGATGTGCATTTGGTTATCAAGAATATTACAGAACATTTTAGAGTGAGGCGTGCCAATTAAAAGGTCTGATTAAAGGTTAAGGCTTGTAGTTGTATTTGCGAGAAGACCTGTCTTCTTGCTTTGTGTTTAAGCTTTATTTCAATCATTTTAATTTGCTTTTTAAAAAATAATCACAAAATTGGGACAAAATCATTTGAGTGTTGAAGACAAGGAAATAAGAGGGAAAAAATATTATAAGAACTAGAAGATCCCCAGGGAATCCATCATTCTATGTACTTTGATTTTTATGTCCTTCTGGAAAAATTAAATTGGAACTCCCTTTATCACTTCTTCATTTCACTTTTTCATTGTAAAAAGGGCAAGAGCTTAATGTGGCACAGACTACAGCTGCAGGGCAGCTGGACACACAGGGGCAGATGCTCAAGTCTCTGGACAGCTGGCAGGGTCTTCCACTCACAGCTTCCAGAGTAGTCGGTTTCGGGCAGCAGCTGGAATGGGCAGGCAGGTGACGCGAGACAGGCTGAAAAGGTGCATGATATTTTCCTCTGGCTTAATGTTTTAAAAAGAGGAATATTTAATAAAAATGAAGCATTTTTGCCAGTTATTTTTTTCCCCTTAACCAGGAAAAAAATCCTTTTGTCCTTTGAGAATTAGACTACTTTAAAAAAAAAAAAGAAGAAAGAAAGCAAAGGAAAGAGTAGGAAGAGGAGGGAAAGGGATCACTCAGGGTCGATCCAAACCGCCCAAGTGTGGGCCATTCAGTGGCAGCATTGGCCCTACTGGGAGTAGCCCCAGCTCCCCTGCTCCGGGGCAGCCCCAGCTCCCCTGCTCCGGGGCAGGCTCAGCTCCCCTGCTCTGAATCTGCATTTCAGCAGGATGCACAGGGATCCAAGGCACAGTGCAGTTTGGGAAGTGCTGTGTCCTGGATGAGGGATTCCCGATTGAGGGAGGTCAAGCTGGTGGTTCTCAGCCTTAGCTTAGCAGCATCTGGGAGCTTAGACAAAATACCTATGACTGAGTCCGACTGCACATAATGAAAACAATCCCTGACGGCGGGGCCTAGGCACAGGTGTGTGTCCAAAGCACCCAGGTGATCTCAACATGTACAGAGCAAAACCACTGGCTCCGTGGCACTCAGAGCCACTGAATGCATCTTGTGACAAAGCCTGGTCTGAATGCCATCTCCTCCACATGCCACCTCCTGTGGCCTTGCTGATGTCAAGACACCGGCGCTCACAGGCCTGGGGCAAGTCCATGAGCATTCACCAGGCGGCCTAACTCAGACCCCACCCTTGAGTGAGAGATGAAATCTTTTTCTTTGGAGAGACGCCACGTTTCTGTGGACTCTGGGAAGCGTTCGTGTGTACTGCAAAGTGGGAAGATTAAAATCTGCTGCCCTGAGACGGCAAACAGCTTCAGTGGTCTCCAGCAATGCTTTATTCAGAGCGGCTGGAGAGTTTAACAATGGAAGAAGATGGTCACTGGGACGCCAATTAATCAGACTTCCTAGTTTTATAACCGAGAGACAAAATAAAGTAAGGGCTGACAGAAGGTGCGCATGTTTGAAATACTTGTGCGTGAGCCCATTGCCACAGCCAAATGGAGCCTCTTGAGGCATGAATTAATTTACGGCAGATGCATGCCTGCTTGAGTCTGGATTATGCTAGGGTGAGCAGTAAGTGTGAGACTTTTGGACAACAGCTTAAAGAATGACATTTCTCCAACTTGATTTTTATCCTTAAGCAGACTGTTTTTCTTGGAATGGGTTTCTGGGAGGGTTTGTGGACACGATTCTGGTCATGTGTGCAGGCCCTGAAGAGTGCTTTTGTGAATTTAGCACAGCAGCTGTCCAGACAAGAAGGGATGCTCTTTACCCAGAGAGCGTGGGCCCCAGTAAACACAGGACGGCTCCCAGGGAGGCCTCCAAATGTGCCATTTGTGCCTCAAGTGCCCAGCCTACCTGGTACTGCTGCCCAGTACAGAGGATGAGGTGGTCGTACAGCACAATTTCTCCCTTGGAAAGCACGACGTACTTGGCGGCCCGGTCTATGCCAGTCATTCTACCAACCACAACATTCACCCAGGAGCACAGTGACATCAACGCGTAATCTTTATCATTAAAACAGTGGCTGCAAAGAGAGAAGCTCCATAAGTGACATTTGAGCAGCTGACAGCGGGCATTAATTAGACATCTGGTGAGCTGGTTCCAGGCCCCTAGTGGGCCGAGTCTGTGCTCTTGCTGTGAGTTTACCAGAACTAACACTGGGAGAGTTTTCGTTATGAAACACTTAGTCACAGATTGACATCTTCCCATTAAAGCTAAATTGTTCCACCTGGCTTAGGCCAGCCTGCAACAGGAAGGGGGCGTGTGTGTGTGTGTGAGAGAGAGAGAGAGAGAGAGAGCAATTACTAATATTATGCTCTTTCTTCTGCTCCTGTGTAGAGAAAGCTGTAAATGTACTTTAGCTGTTGAACTCTCATATTGATCACAGACAAAGGGAGTGAGGAAGAGGAAAGTGACATTGTTGAGGATTCCCACAGATGGGTCAGAGTCCTGGGTATCAATAACCCTCCTTATTTGCTGATACTTCAATACAGAACCCATTCTTAGAATTAATGTTTGGCTTCATGCCCAAACAACAAAACAAGGTTTATTTAATGAAGATGTCAATTATGGAATTATGTTTGTAGCAAGTATACTCCCTGGAGACTTTTGGGATTCACTGTGCAGGGCGAAGGTGGTTTACAGGGAACTGGTATTTCTACAAACAGTGATTCCTTTAATGCTTTGGCTTTGGGGCCCCAGAGGCAGGGTGGGCTTCCATTTTCTGGGTCCTACAGGAGTTAGAGCACTCTACATTAATTAGAGTAGAGGGGCCTTCTTGTGGTTTTAGGTTTGTTTAACAGTTTTTGTGAGGGTTGTTTCCAGAAGTTTTTGAAAGGTTTAACTTTTTAATGATTCTGCTCTAAGACTGAGAATCTGTGCTGATAGCACAGTGAGTAGTGCATGGTAATTTAAGCTGCATGAGCCTTTTCTTTATTCTTTTAAAAACAATTTTTAACAATATATTTTTTTCAGTTTTAGAAATGGGGTCTTGCTTTATTGCTCAGGCTGGCCTTGAACTTTGGGGATCAAGGCCTCCTCCCACCTCAGCCTCCCGAGTAGCTAGGACTACAGGTGTGTTCCACCACACCCAGCAGCATGGTCTTCTTCACGAAGGACTGTGCTGGGTAGAGTCCTCACTCCCTGGACCCACTGCAGTTTCTCACCTCCCAGCAGGGTACTCAGCCATCGTACAGAAGGAACAGGAGAATGTGAGAGGTGCTGCTTTGCTAAGTGGGATGCATATATGAAGGGTATTATTCTAAATAATATTAATGATACATAATCCTGTTTACTTTCTTTGGAGGCAAACAGGACTCTGAAGTGGTAATGGGAGAACGTTTTTGTCTCTTTTTGATCCACACACACATCTGGTCTTACTGCACAAAGAGAATCCTAGTAATGGTTGTGCATTAGACCCGTAAAAGATGCAGGAGCTCTGGGCTTTGTGTCTCTCCACGAAACAACGCTTAAGAACAAGAAAATTTCTTCTTAATGAGAAAAAATCGGGGGCTGGCCTGTCACAGGAAAATAATGGATAGTGAGATGAAATTTTCTTTTAAAAAACCATCTTGATAGCTTTGCAGGAGTACAGGAAACTCCAGTGATTCCAGACATTGCCGAGAGAGCCACAGAGGGTTGTTCTTATTTGTTCCACAGTCCCTACCGTAAGCCATCCGAGATGAGGATGACAAATTAAATACAGTTAGTGCCCAGGGATTAGTCTTATGAGGATTTGCCCAAAGATAAAAGCTCCTGGGGGAAATTTGCGGAAGGTGAAGAGAATGCTGTCTTTAATGGCAGTAAGACACAGTGCCGATAATGTCAGAATACATATTTCAAATTAAAATTTGAGCTCTGTCGGGGGGAACTGGCATTGGAGAACACTGATGTTTTAGGAACCTGCACTCAGATGCACAAGGAAGCACTGAAGGATGTGGGTGGTTGCTTTTGTGGCACGTCCTGAGTGGCCTTTCTCAGTTTACAATGTCACCGTGTAAGTGACTGCTCTCCACTCTGCACGGTACTGTCTATTCTGGACTTCTTTAATTTCCTCACCAGGTAAGTGAAATTATATATTGAAGACTCTGAGTGATATTTTCCCAAAATTAGTTCCTCAGCAGAATTAATAAGCTTTAAGATTCTGACATGGCACACCCTGTCTCACGGCTTGGTGACAAGAGAAATGTCTCCACTAGGGTTCTCCGGAAAGGGGAGAAGAAACCAAGGAAGGCAGACGATGAGGCTTCATGCTTCTCGCAGGAGTTTGACCCTGACGCAAGAGGAAATAAAAATCATCTTCACAGGAAATTCTGGAGACAGACTGGAGGAAAAAAAACCAAAAAAGCAGGAACTCGAGATGAGGAGGTTTCTGAAAGGCACATACCTGGAGTGGGCCCCTAACCGAGCACCCAGAAGGCCCAGCCCTGGGCCTGCAGGGCCCACGCGTCAGCGGACAGCAGCCCCTCAGGGGGCCAGAACGCTTCAGAACCAGAAAGGACCTCAGAGCTTCTCATAAAGGACTAGTTATGACACTGTTACAGAAAGGACCATCACAATCAGACTCGGATAGTCTGGTTAATGGACCTGCCTGCCTCCGGGGCCCGGCAGCCCTGCATGGAGCCGCATCTGAGGCATGCATGTTGTTAGCACCTCCACAGAGGAGGGCAGGGAAGGGGAAAGTGGGCAAACATAATCACAATAACTACACTGACACATCAAAACACTAGCAAAGGCAAGTTCAAAATTAGTGTTTAGAATGAAGAATTTAAACTATTAAAATATTGGATGTCTGCTCGGCGCCTGTGGCTCAAGCGGCTAAGGCGCCAGCCACATACACCTAAGGTGGCGGGTTGGAATCCCCAGCCCGGGCCCGCCAAACAACAATGATGGCTGCAACCAAAAAATGGCCAGGCGTTGTGGCAGGCGCCTGTAGTCCCAGCTACTTGGGAGGCTGAGGCAGGAGACTCGCTTGAGCCCAGGAGTTGGAGGTTGCTGTGAGCGTGATGCCATGGCACTCTACCCAGGGGGACAGCTTGAGGCTCCGTCTCAAAAAAAAAAAAAAATTGGATTTCATGCATACTGGATATTTTTAAACTCCATACTCCAAGTTAATTTCATTTCTGGGGCATGAGGACCACGTGAAAGGTGACCCCTGTTTGTTTGCCACTGGTCTGTGGTTTCTGAGCAGTGTGGTGAGGTGCAGCTCCCCTGCAGAGAGGTCTGGCTGCGCTATTCAGTCCCTGTCTAACGCTTGAGTAAAGGACGGGCGGTATGTTTGGAGGTAACTTTCACTTGGTCCACAGGATTCAGTGAACACTTGCTCGTGCCCATGTGTCAAGCTCTGTCCCAGGCACCGCCCTACCAATGACTAGAAAGACAAAAGTCCCTGCCCTGTGGAGTTTACAGTATAGTTAGAAGATCTGGAATACAAGGAAGAAGCATAATTTTAAAAAGATAAATTATATACCATTTAAAAGGATTTCCAGTAGCACGGAAAAAAATAGAGCAGAGTATGAGGGACTGGGGTATGTTCAGGTGTTGGGTGCAAGTGAGTGGGGTGGTCGGGGCAGGCCTCCAGGAAAAGGCGACATTTAAGAGAGAAAAGCAAAGGCCCCAAGCGGGGGGCTTGACTGGTATGCTTGAGGGGCATTAAGAAGGTTGAAGTAGGGAGAATAAAAGGGCAAAAATAGTCCAAGATGAGGCCAGAATAGTAACTAGACAGGGAGAGAGTTTAGGTCACAGCTTTCTAGAATTTTCTGTGAAGATGGCAATGGTCTATATCTGTGCTTTCTAATGTGGTAGCCACCAGCCATGTGGCCAGTGTGATTGAGGAGCTGAGTGTTTCATCTCATCTAATTTTAAGTAATTTAAATTTAAACAGTCACATGAGGCCAGTGGCCACCACAGTGGGTAGTGCGGCTCTGGGTTGTGAGGACTTGTGGTCCCAGTCACATCTTTGTGGCCTTGCTCTGGCCGCCACGTTGGGAATGTAGAGGCAAGGGCAGTGGCAGGGGCGCCAGCTGCCTGTCCTGGTCACACCTGCAGGAAGGTCGTTGTTAGCAGTTCTGTCCTGTGACGCGCCCAGTGTGGGATGGACAGAGACCCTACCAAGCTGACTGAACTAAATGCCTCTGAAGACATTTATCAATCCAACAGCATTTCCTGAGAAATCTTAGAATTTAGAAAGAGACAATAGAGGGAAAGGTATACTTGGGCAGAATTTGGCATTTGTGCTAATTTTAATAAAAATACAGCAAGCTTGGCATATCACCTACTTTTCACAGTCAAAATAAAGCAAAGCTCAGGGAAAGGAAATCCTTTGCCCGGATGCTTAGTGGCAGGGGGTGGATCTGAATCTGAATTCTTCTGGCCTGAAACCCATGCCCTTTATACTGCACCATAATGACATCCTTAAAAATGTGAAGTTTATAGTTTGATGGGAGTATTAGGTCTAAGTGAGCGTGGTTCAGTGGCAAGAAAGCTGTGGTTGTCCTGTCCAAAGGCAAAGCAAGTCTTTTTCGCAGAGGAAAGAGGGTCCCTTCATCATGGACTCTGGAATGAAACCCCCGAGAGGGAACAATTTCCTTCATCCTCATTGGAAAAATTGGGAGATTGTTTCTATAGGCAGGGAGCCTAATATTTCTTGTACCCATGTTTTGCTGTGGGAAATTAAAATTAATAAAAGCTGTGTGATAAGGAAATGGTGTTGTCTAGAAGGGATTTTATCAAACAATGACTCAGCTGGGATGATAACTATAAAGCTTGCCCAGACTGGCATGGAAGTTCTCTGATTACAAATGACCAGATTAGGTGAAGCACATACCCCAGTGAGGTGCCTTGTCAGATGCAAATATAATCACTAACCTCTGTTCCCCTGTAGTGTGACTCAGAACCCAAATGCAGGGTGCCTGGGCCCACAGACTCCATCCCAGTTGCTTGGAACAGGGCAGATGTCTTTCCAGTTACTAAATGTGGCTGACCCTGCAGGTCTGTGCGCGCACCTCCTAAATGACCTCTGAACCACACCCACTCATTTGCATCCAACACCTCCCTGCCCCCATCCTCTGCTCTGCTTTTCCCTTTCCAATCTGAAATCCATTGTTTAGCAGCAAAAGACAGCACATAAATTAGGACACTTAGGCCTCAGAATGAAAAAGCAATCAGAATACATACTCGCTGGCTAGAAACTTCCTTTGTTCAGCTCCCAGAAGGTTTTTGCCTGGAAGTCCGTGAGTTGAAATCAGGGTGAGATTATTGAACTTCAGGTGAGAGCTAAGGAAGAAGAAAAAGGAAAAGAACAGAAGAGTCGACGCTGTGATTTAGTGAAAGTTTATCACAATTCAATTTAACTGTTGAATTTTTCTCTGAAAATAACAACTCTTTTTACAGAACCCTCCAAATACAAATTACAATTTAAATACCAAAAGGAAGGTAGCCCCAGAGCTGCCACCGCAGAAACTCCAGCTACATACAGTAATGACAGGATGGTTTGACTTTCTCCATTTACTTCTCACAGTAAAACAAAATAAAACCCGTAAGTTGGGAGGAAGGAAGCAAATACACAGGGTGTCCCCAAAGTTGCCATACATAAGAAAAACGGGAAATTGTACCTAAATATACCTTTATTTACAAAATATTTACAAAGTATTCTCTATGTGTTTGTCACCTCTTTGTAAAATTTTGTAATGAATATTTTGTAAACGAAATGAATATTTTGTGGCTATAGTTTCCCATTTTTCCTGTGTATGGTGATTTGGGGGCGGCTTTTGGGACAGCCCGTGGAACATATTAGTGCAGAGGATGAATTTTAGTCTACTTCTGAGAAACTTCTGGGAATCATAACCACAACAGTTGAACTTTGCCTAGTGCTTACAATAAGCACTCTGTGTGTAATGAGGTCAGTAATGATATTATCCATATTTTATCAGGTAGGACTGAGGCAGTGATTTGCTGACACCACATTGCTGCTAAGTCTGGAGCAGGGTTTGAACCCAGGCCGTCTGGCTCTGGAGTCCTCTCTCCAGACATCTGCTGACACTGCTCTGTAAACCTCAAATTGTTGAGAGGGATTCAAAGATCATCTAATTCCCACTGGTAAACATTAGCTTTATTACTTTCATATATATATATATATATATATACATATACACACACACACACATATTTAATCAAATCAAGACATTAATCTGTAACTTAGGAGAAAATTCTAGAGTAAAAGTGACTTCTATTGGCCCCAGGATCTCCAGAACCCAAGGCACCTCCCCGGCACCCACAGAGATACATATTCAGAGGGGTGCATGCTGGGTCGGGCAAAGGTCAGGCTTTACCAACCATACTTCAAATGTAAGGCAATCAAGATTGCAGATGTAAGTAATTTGTTCAAGGTCATGAAGCTCAGGAGTAGCGGGGCTGGGAAAGAGGGCCAGGTCTTCGGACCTGACAGCATCTTGCCCCTCCAGCCTGTCCTGCGCTCAAGCCCGTCCAGGTGGAGGCCCGCCTATCCACTCTGTGTTTGCTTTTCGGCATTTAAAACATGCCCTCTGGTTAGAGTCAGCAAAATTATATGGGTGACTTGATCCTTTTCATAGGATTCAGGCTGATGAGAAAGATATTTTCTTCTAAAATTGCTCCTTAGTTCACACCTCCCCTTCAATCAACCAAATACCAAAAAAAGAAGGCTTCACCAAGTGGAGGAAAACACCTGCCCTCCCTTCCCATGAGGAGGCTGGAAGTGTTCCAAATGTGGAAATGCTATCAATTTCCTGACAAGCTGGTAAGTAGTGCTGAGAGCAGGAGACTTTCGGTGGGGGGACGGGGGACAGTGCAATAAACTCCACGGCACCTGACATTTAAAAACAGCTAAATATTAGGAGAGGTTCTGTTCTAAACTCTCTAAGGATGGGTGTCATTTAAGAATTAATATTCTTATTTTATATGAAGAAAACGGAGCACATCTTATCCTCTAATAATAAGAATAAAAATTTTGAATATCTTCAAATAACGTAAAGGTCACAATTAACCCCCGCTACTCAGGGCTGCCAGTCTGCAGGTGCACAGCATGGCAGGCCTCTGAGCTGTTAGCATTTAAGGGGAAGAGCAAACAATAATAATAATATGTGTTTATACTCACAGGCAGGAAGAATCTGTCCTGGCTTTGGATCCTATGTGATCGACATGTGGTTTATGTTAGACTAATAGCAGTTACACAGGCCCTTTTTGCAGCTCTGTGTAAATAGAACACTTAGTAATTACCCAGATATATCTTTTACTGCAAAGACAATCTCTTTGGTACCGAATAATATGAATTATCTAACATGTATCAAATGACTTATAAATTGCTAACTTACCACCCTGTGTTGTTCTAAATTATGCTATGCTATCATACAACTAACAATTTCCCTTAAAAACAGTGGGTTATTAAAATATTATCTATAATGACATAGCATAAAGTTTTGTTTGTTTGTTTTTTTTTGCTTTTTTTGCTTCAAGGTCATGAAGCTCAGGAGTAGCGGGGCTGGAAAAGAAGGCCAGGTCTTCTGACCTGACGGCATCTTGCCCCTCCAGCCTGTCCTGCGCTCAAGCATTTTCTGATTTATTATATATAAATTAAAACACACCCAGGTTTCCACTCCTTTTCCCTAGCCCTAGTCACATTCCTTTCATGTTCTTTGCCTGTGGCTGTTCTGGTCTGTTCTGCAATCTTTGCCTTCTCTGCTGTCACCCGTGCCCTTCCTACTGTCCTCTGTTCTCACGTGGCCGTCTCTCCTACATCGTACAGGACACACAGACCAGCCTCCAGGTTTCCCTCCTTTCCCCTTCCTGCCACGTGTGGACACATCCTCAGGAGACTGCCCATTCTCTTGAGTCAGAGGACAGGTGACTCTCCAGGAACCCTGTCTCTGCTTCAAGTCCTTCTACCTCTCCCAACCCCCACACTGGCACATTTCTCTCTGACTAGACTGAAGACACTTGTGCTGACAAGGTGGACCCATGTCACCTGCAGGAGCCAGCCCGTGGCCTGCTTCTCTGCTCCCCACTTGTGCTTCTCATTCTCTGGGTCATCTCAGGCCCAACGTGGCTTCTGAGCTCCAGCCAGGACAGCCACATGGCAGGTACAAGGAAGGAGGGAAGGGCACGCAGAGCCGCCTAGGGAGGGACCTTCCTAAAAAGTTCCACGGACATTATTGTTTACATCACTGGAACTCAGTAACGTGGCCAGAGGAGCAGTGAGAGAGGCTGCAAAATGTGGTTTTTAAAAACAAAACGAAACATAGTGGTTTAAACAACAACACTGTGGTTTTTCAAAGACCTGCATTGCCTAGGGTTCTGTCACCAAGGACGCAGTGCAGAATAGATAATTTGAGCCACATTCAAGTCTCTACTCTAGTTGATTCATGAAGGGTGGTGAGGCTGTGAGAAGATGGTATTCTTCAGGCTCCAGGTGAGGCCACAAGGCCTGCCCAAATGCGGCCACAGGCCTGTCGGACTCCACGGGGCCCGCCCAAAGGCGGCCAGAGGCCTGTCGGACTCCACGGGGCCCGCCCAAAGGCGGCCAGAGGCCTGTCGGACTCCACGGGCCCGCCCAAATGCGGGCAGAGGCCTGTCGGACTCCACGGGGCCTGCCCAAATGCGGGCAGAGTGTTAGAGTCACAGCAGTTGGAAGGCATTGGGGGTTACCCAGGGCTTCCAACAGTGGGACGCCATTGCAGGTCCTAAGCCTAAGGGAGCAGGGGGTGGAAGAGGTGGGGAGACCCCAGCAGCTGCAGCCAGAGAATGTGAGTCTGAGACAATGTCACCCGAGGTTCTCCTCCCTGCCTGCTCTTTACCCAGTGATCTTACCTCCCTGTGACTTTATCTCACATATTTATTCCACAGAACTACATTGTGCTACAGTGTCTTTTGGAGCTATAATCTAATTTCTAAGTGCGGAGCGCTTATTCAGACGCAAATTCAGTATGCGTCTGAACACAGCTCTTGGTAGCCCCACCCCCTCCCCTGCATCTCCATCAAAGCCTTGGCCAAACTGAGAACGTGGGAGCGTCTCAGGCCTCTTCCCACTTCCCATCCTGGTCACCAGGTGCGAATGAAATGAAGTCCTATCTTTATAGTACATTTTCAGTAAATGTTAAATATTTTTATTACAAACTATTAAGACCAGGTTCACTTTCAGGGAATATAGTGTCCCTGTAGTTGGGGCCTAAGCTAACGCCCAAACCTTCTTTGTAACATCAACTTTCTTGCCATTCAGCAAAGTCTCTCTGCCATTTTATGCCTTTGTATAAAAATATCACCAGCATTCCATTTTTTCCTCCAAACTCATAGTTTTACTGTACCTTTGTAATCTGATTTTAGCAACACCCAAACATTTAATCCTTAAATAGAAGAGTATTGGTCCAAAATCATGAAGTTTAGAATGTATAATTATAATAGATTGATTTTTAATTTGGTGACCTGTGAATATTCAAAAAGCTCCTACAAATTGAACAGTGGGTCACAGGTGGGTTAGATGAAACGTCAGGAATAGCAAAGTCGGAGATAAAGCACGATTCTTGGATCTAATGGTGTTGGCTTAATGTATATAAACAATAGCTAATATCACCATGAGCCCCAGCTCCAGAATCAAAGGTCACCATACCGTGAAAAAAAAAAAGTTCAAGTTAAGTGCTCGAGCCACTGAAACACGAAACGGGTGCACCTGCATTTTCACAGCAAATAATTCCAGTGGGGATTTCACGTTGCTGTGATACAAAGGGAAGAACAGCTCAAAGATACTTGTAAAGCAGGGAGGGATTAGGGTATCCAGGGAAATAAGTAACAGGTATTGTGTTTCCTTCCATGCTTCAGGAGGACAGCTACAGAATTAGGTCTAAACATCCTTATCCTCCAAATAAAGAGAGTCACATTGCCAATTTATTGTGAACACGATAAAAGAAACATAAAACTTTTCATGTCGCTCACCCTTCTGGGCGGTAGAAACCTGTCACCCTGATGGGCAATCCCTCATTAATTTGTAGCTGACTTTTTTTTTTTTTTTTTGGAGGGAATATAGTAAATGCAACCAAAACAAATGATTTAATTAACTACTTTTATTAATGCTTTTATTTGAAGAAATACATACTGTACAGAAAAAATAATCACCCCACATCAATTTAAATGCTTCATTTTCATTTACTAAAATCTCTGCTTTCTGAAGGGTTCAAAACTGACAAAAAATTTGCCAACTGATAATAAATCCTAATTCAAATATTTATCCTAACTACATATTTTCCTAG